CTGAGGCCAGATTTATTTCTTTTAAATCTCTATACTTTGTCAATGATTGAAAAATTAAGAGCGATACCTTAGGTCGTCATCAATATCTTACGCTTGGATGAGAGGAGTTTATGGAAAGCTATGCTCATGCTACTAAAGACTTTCAAAACTGTGTTGTTTCATATTCCTAATTGACTTATTAGTTCATCAGGTAATGAATGTCAGGAGATCTACAGAGACTAAAGATCTGTGCACTGAGATGTAATTTGTTCTGACATCATTTTGGAATTTACGTCTAAATAAATAGGGCCAGGAGAATTTTGAAGAAGGAGAAAGTTATGTTCCTGCAATTGCTATTGTCGGCCGTCCTAATGTGGGTAAAAGTAGCATTTTGAATGCACTGGTTGGAGAGGATAGAACAATTGTTAGCCCAATCAGTGGAACCACCCGCGATGCTATTGATACTGAATTTATGGGAGCAGATGGCCAGGTATGATCTCTGTATGTTACACATCTTTATGTCAAGCATTGTAATTGCTTGATAATTTTAGTCTGTTGCTAAGTAACTTTGTGCATCCTTATGGGCGATAAAATTGAATAAGTTGTTTCAGCAATCATCAAACGTTTAGTTCCTTGATCATTTGAATGGATGTCAGACAGAGCATTCATGGACTTATGCTATATATTTGGAAATGAGGGGAAAGGGGTGGAATGAAAGTTTGGGTGGAAAATGGGGAAAATTTAGAAATTTTTTTGAGGAGAAGAGGGGATGTTTCAAATTTTTGTATTTTCTATTCTAATTTATTTCTCCCCTCCTCGCAAACATATACGATGGGGAAGTTTACCTTGAGTAGAAGTCTGCTTTTGACTTATTAAGGTTTTTCTTTCCATCTAGAGTGTGAGTTTGTTTCTCGCTACTTCGCGTCTGCTCATTTTGAATGTCTGATTTTTCCCTGAGGATCACATTGAGATATTTCTACCCCCGAGTATGTCATTGTAAGAGTTTAGCTACTTCCATGACTTCACATGATCTCAAATTGTTCATTTTATTTTTGTCTACCTTTTCAAGATAACCAAGCAATTCATTGATTGAAATTCCAAGGGACTAATTCCTGCTACTACTACCACAATTTACTAGCAAAGCAACTTAATAATCTAATTACACAATGCTTATAATTACCATCACTAGCTCCGACTCAGACATCATTGAGGACATTATGAACCTTGTCACAGCTTTATACTGTGTTGATGAATAAACATGCCACATATTTTCTGTTTGTGCCTTTCATGGATGACTGCTATAGCTTAGGTCTCCGATTCAAGCCTCCATGAGATGATCAAGAGAGGCCTTCCTCTCAGATTATCTATAGATCACGTTAGTTCCACATGCCAGCTGCCAAAGCCCTTCCCAGAGCCGAACAAATCCCCAAATTCTTCTCCAAATTTAAGTTAAGAATGGAGAGTTATGGGAAAGAATATTTTACTCCTCCATTCATAACTCGAGCCAAAGTGTTGCTAAGCAATGGCAATGTTAATAAATACAGGGGTGAAATCATGAAACTCTCACTTTAGGGTAGCAATCGAGAATATTAGTTGATCAGTCAGCTCTATCATTTTCAGAAGTTCCGGCTTATTGATACAGCTGGAATCAGAAGAAGAGCAGCTGTTGCTTCATCAGGCAGTACAACAGAGGCATTATCAGTCAACCGAGCATTTCGCGCCATCCGACGTTCTGATGTAGTCGCTCTTGTCATTGAGGCAATGGCTTGCATCACTGAGCAGGTACTTACATGAAGATCTATATGAACTATTAACTCCATTAATTTCTTCTTCATGATCTGCAAATTTCTAGCTTGATATATGCAAGGAAATGTAGTGCAACAGATTCTTGGCTAATCAAAAGTCGCTAGTCTTTTCTAGCTTCTTTATGGAATCTAGAATCTTTATGATTTAAAATCTGTTCATTCTCTTCTCTTAATTTCATATATAACTTCATGGAATAAAGGAGCTGAAATCTTCTATAACGTGACTGTTGAGTGTGATGAGATTTCTTGATGAGGATAATTGTAAGAATTAGTTTGGTGGATGAGTTAATTGGTTCATTCAACTGTCCACCGGGCTAGCTGAGACATCCTCAGTCCAATCTTTATTGGACATGTCTGCATATGACTCTAAGGCTTTGCTTTGCCCAGAAAGCACTTCCTGGATACATAGCATGATGTGGACCAACATGGGCATGTCCTTACCAAATAATCTGCTAAACTTGACTTGCAATAGGTATAGGAAAGGTTGAGTTCTTAACATCAGTGTAGTTTCTAATGCAGTGAGCAGTTTTTGAAAAATTCTGTTGTGATTATGAATTGTTTGGCTGATTATTCTCAGTATTTAAATTGATTTAGGTTTGTTAATCTGCATAAATTTTTAGTTTTTGTTTTAACTGTAGGTTGAATTCATCAGAATGACCATTTTGTGGTTTTTTTGTCAACTATTGTAGGATTTCCGGATTGCTGAGAGGATAGAAAAGGAAGGAAAAGGTTGCCTTATCGTTGTGAATAAGTGGGATACGATACCCAATAAAAACCAGCAAAGTGCGACATACTATGAGCAAGATGTTAGGGAGAAGCTTCGCAGTCTTGATTGGGCACCGATTGTTTATTCAACTGCAATAGCTGGTAACAGCGTTGAAAAGTAGGTGCCGATCCCATGTTGTTTTGATCTAATCAGATGTTCTTTGTCTGTTTGCAACTTTATTGTAAATATGCAATATGAAGGTTTATTGCAGAATTAGAAAGTATCCCCATTTGGCAAAAGAAACAATCAGTAATAAAGAGAAATTTGGAGTTTATCCTGCTCAATTTTGGTGGCAAAAAATTAATCCTGCTCATTGAATGATATAAAACCAAATTTCTGTTGTAGGATCATTGTTGCTGCGGGCACAGTGGAAAAGGAGAGGTCAAGAAGGCTTAGCACTGCTATACTAAATCAAGTGGTGCAGGAGGCAGTGGCTTTTAAAGCACCTCCACAGACTCGTGGTGGAAAGAGAGGGCGGGTTTATTACTGCACTCAGGTTCGTTCTATGGTAGCGCAGCTGAATTATCTTGTGTTTATCATCTAGACAACCTTGATATATATTTTAGTGCCGTCAGCGTGTTTATTACTATAGCAACTAGCAATTTGTCATGCCTCGTCTAATGTTTTAGCTAATGGTCATCAAACTGATGCTGCTACTTTAGCAAATCATGAGGTACATAGTAATAAATGCTGAAGCTCATTAACAGAATTTTAGTCTCATCTTAGAACCAAGGTTGTTTCAGTTTTAATAAATTTTGATGGGATAAATTTTGTGTTGGCAGGCTGCTATCAGGCCACCCACATTTGTTTTCTTTGTAAATGATGCCAAACTTTTCTCTGAGACATATCGGAGGTATATGGAGAAGCAACTGCGATCAAACGCAGGGTTTTCAGGTACCCCTATTCGGCTTCTATGGCGCAGCAGAAAGAAAATGGAGAAAGGTTAGTACATTTAGAAGAATATTTGATGATCGTAGGAAAATTAAAGCATGAATTAATTTGGATGGGTGCTGATGGATTTTTCAGGGAGGGCTTCAACAAATGCACAGGGTGTCAGTGCCGCTCCAGATAGAAATTTGGCCGTTGCTACGTGAACAGATTCATCTTCAGAAGTACTTCCAAAGCTTAATCAACAGCTAGATGCATTGTTGAACCCGGAGAAGCTACATACTAAGTCACAGCTGTTGACGACATTGCTCATCCTTCCTCGCGGACAGATTCGTGCTTGTGGTTGTTCTCCTGACAGCAGTGAAGGTTGTGCCCAGGAAGGATTAGAACAAGGCAGCCATATACATGGGGCGTACGCATCGCATACTTGTCATGTACTTGTTTGCTTCGTACTCACTGCATGTGCCCGTCTAAGTGTTATTATGTGGTGGTGAAAAGTTGTGAATTGGTTCTTTGTGTTCTGGACCAATACTATTTATAAACACGAACGCTTTTACGAAGCACTTTTTTTTTTCGGTCGAATAGGAAGAAGCAATTGAAATGCTGCTTTTTGGAAACTTCTTCAGTTATTAATCTCCAATGTCATTTTATCGAGTTATCTGCTTTGGCAATAGATTTGTTCATTTTGGTTTTCCGAGCGGACGTGATCTTTTGATATTCGTTGAATATCTATTGCAGACGAGACACAAAAGTGTCACACAAAAGTGTTGTACTGGCAGCGAGGTCTCGTCTAGTTTAGGACACATTGTGTGAATTGACAACTTCCTCTTTTCAACAATCTGGATGATTGTTGGCCAAAAAGAGGTTGTTTCTTTTGGGCCAGAAATTTACTTCCCTTTTTTTCTGAAAGAAAATCGAATTGTTTGAGTGTTGTGTGGTTCAACAGGAAAAAGAAGGATGTCCATTTGATTTTGATTCCCACAGCTTTGCGTGGAGTCACTAGTCTCTAGCAGTCTTTGTAGCATTCTTCCATCAAAACTTTTTCTCTTTTCTCTGGTTTTGTGTTTCTTCGATAGATTTTTACTTCTTTTTCTTGACAAGTCAGACAATTTTTACTTCCTCACTCAGGGGAGCTGTCCGACGAAACTGAACCTCGACCAATAAATTGTAAATTCTGATAATTTCGAGAAAATTTGTCCCGATTTAGATTGCAGAGTCTTCCAGGACTGAAATGCCTACAATCAGAAATCTGTGACCTTGAATTGTAGTTCTCAGAGTCGACGAATTTTAAACTTAAAGATCAGCTGGGGAAATAGATGAAGTTAAGCTTTAAAGGAGTTGTTGTATTCAGGGTTCATTCGGAAGGAACAGAAAGTTTTGTTCATATGTCCGATGACACGACCTTAATTTTTTGCGTGCGTGATTAATCTCTCCCCCTTCCTTAATACCAATATGTTACTACCGCCTGTCAAAGACAATGAGCTAAATCATCGAGTTAAATCAGTAGTAATGCTACATACTCTTAAGGCAGGTTTACGAAATTAGTTTACGACACTATGGCAAGCTGCAAGTGAGCATTTCTTGCTTCATATTGAATACACAATAAGAGTCGCATCGTTTTGTAAACTAATTATGTGAAGAAGTCTCAACATATGTAACACACCACATGAAAATGAAATTTAACAACAATGAATGGTGACAAAATATGTGGAAACAAATGACAAATTTGCAATTGATGCTGGGGGACCTTTCCGAGCTTTCTCTCGGCCGCCAGATCAGTCGGAGATTCGGAAGTCGAGCGAGAGAGGGAGTGGTGCCCTCATTTGCTGGCCTGAGCAATTATGTTGCTGATGGAGTTAGCCTCCTCTTTGGCAGTCTCCACCAAAGCGTCCTGCGATTAAGAATAAGTCAGGGGTGGACAGAACCTCCAACTCCGAGTAAAAGGACAGGAAATGCACCTGTCCAGCGATAAGACGGGCAACAGTTTTCTTGCTCGACTCCTGAAGTTCACCAGCCAGCAGTAGCTCGTCCAGAATGTAATAAGCCTAGTAGTTTGAGGTTCAATGTCAGAATCACATTAACATCAGAGAGAAGGAAAGGTAGCTAAATTGGCTGTGGGGCAGTTATAGCATGCACTAAGAACATGTAAGGCCAGCGAGAGCAGAAACTATCCATCTTTTGCGTGGTTATGACAACAAAATGTGAAAAGAGGATCCCACCAAGGGAGATTTAGAGTCCGTACCTTGTGGAAGTTGAAGATCAAGTCCAGCTCGCACACCTATTAGGGAAACAGAAGGGGGCACCGGAAAAAAGTAAAAATCTGTCAAACCACCTTCAACTCATAAAAAACTCAGCATCTCGCTCTTCATTCTTCAAGATAAAAAAGCTTACGCTTCCAAAGTAGCGATCTAAAGTTTCCACATAGTGATGGATTATTTCAAGAACCTCCAGTTCATTGTCGTCTTGGTCGATGCACATACAGAAGTAAAGGCTGGCATACCTAACCAGATTAACAAACGATATAACAGTCTGCATATACTCAGTGCCAACTACTGAATTATAGAAGGTACAGACAGCTAAAAGACTTTGCAAAAACTGTAGGCATACCTTCTATAAACAACTTTTAATCCTCTCCACTCGACAAAGTTGCAAAGTTTGGGCCCTCTTGTAAGTACTTCACCACTAATCTCTCGAATAACCTAACAGCATGAGCATACAAGAAATAATAGTATTTTAGCATGGGAATACATTCCCAGCAGCATGATGGAGACAACAAATAACCAGATGAAGCAGGATTTGTTATGAACTAAGCACAGTTCAGAAGTTCAAGTAACATTTTGTAGGTCTATTGACGATTTGAATGCAAGAGAAATAGCCCATATTACATATCAACAAATTCTATCCCTACGAAGACTAACATTAGCAACTAGGAATCGTCACCTAATAGCAAATAAAAAGGCTAATGGAGGTGGCATTAATATAGCATGGTTCATGGTTCCGCTGGTAATCGATGGTGCAAGGTCATCTGGTGAAGGGAATATCTATGACTTTTCACTAGAGGGTGCTGTCCACCAATTATCCAATGAGGGAGACAAGCTTGGTGGTTTCCCTACTTATTTTTTATCGACAAGTCTAGAATCCCTACTGATAACTCTCAAATAACTAGATTATCACGAATGACCAATCTTAAAGGAAGCACTAGAAGAGAAAATAGAGTAAGATAGTGAAGCTACTCTCATTTTCAATTCTCGCACCAACAAGTATCAAGAGAGCAAGTTCACTCTGATGAACCTTAAAAGTTAACTTAATTTTGCATTTGAGGCCATAAACATAAAATTTCCACGTTCTTATGGTGTTTTTTTTTGCTCAGCCGCGGAAGTATCCCTTTAGACATGGTTGCTTAGCCTCCTTTTAAACGAAATCCTAGTCATGTTTCTATTAGATAACACCCTAAACCGAAAACAACAAACCAATTGCATGCTTAAATTTTATCAAGCTTTCTCAAAAACCCCTTTGACACAATGAAACTTGAACGGTATTACCTAAGATGCTTCTAAGAGGGAAAAAAACTGAAAAAAAATATTTCATGGGATAAGATTGCCAGTTTCATAGACTTTTTAGACTTTGCTAAAATGCGAGATTGATAAACTTATCATTGGTGCTACTATGAGTGTGCTTTCTTTCCATCTCTCCATAAATCAGCCAATTAAGAAAATTCATGCGCTCCTTCAAGAGAATAACTTTTACTATTTATATCCGTGATGCAACTGTTGTAAGTCTTGTTTGAGTCCATCACTTCATGTAAAAAGGAAAAGCAAACACATGAGGTGATGAGAGAATGCATGCCACATACTCAGAAGCTAGTACAAGCAAAGGATTTTACTGGAACACCACCCTTCCTCAGATTATATTTTCCACATACTTTTCTAAATGTAGCTCGAGTATTTCTTTTGAGGTCACGTTTTCAACTTGTCCATATTTAAGTAAACAACAGGGAACATGATCTACAGACTGTAAGAAATGAAATTACCTTAGTTCTCTCCTTCTGGGGATAAGGTGAATACCACTTTGTCAGCCTCACTTTACCCTGCCTACTTAGGAGAAGCACGAACTGAATCTGAAAATTGAGGACAAAGCAAAGTAATTATGCTCACAGCACAATGTGCAACGACAAATGCTTACACCTCCTAAAATCAGTCAACAACAAATCCATTCCACGCCAAAACAGACACCAATGGAGCAATGCCCTCAAAGATGCAATTTTTGAAGGTCCTACGCAAAATCGCGACTAACCCACGAAGACAGATGCTCCAATCTGTACCAGATCTAATGCAATTCAACAACGGATGAGAATAAGCTATCGGCTCTTGCTGGAGGATGACAAGATCTCATCAAAAGAATCAGCAGTTTCACAAAGACTACACAACAATCATCAGATCAACATTCGTCCCTTCTTCCACACTCGTTCGAGATATCACATTTCCGCGATCGCTCGGCTCAATCTCTTGCGACAGCTAACGAAGTTCAACTCAAAATTCGAGTCCATCAGCATCAGGAGCAGAATGCAGCTTCCGGGATGCGGGATTCAAGAAGCAGCTTTCCGCGAACAAAAGCAAGAAAGTCGCGGACCCAAGACGCCAGCAGCTCAGATTCGAGCTGCGGAACTGGCAAGTAGAATGCAGGGAAGAGGAAGGAAGCAAAGATACCATTTTTCAGCGCAGAGATGCCAGAGCGAGTTCGTTAGGTGACGCGTTCTTTGCTCATGTCCCGTTTAGAGAGAGAGAGAGAGAGAGAGAGAGAGAGAGGGGATGGAAAATTCTAATTGACGTCCTCAAACTAACGCGAACTTCTAATGAGTTAAGGTTATTAACTTGTTTGTTAGGGGCGCACACGGCAACTATTCTGTCTCTGAAAATTAATTCTGCTCAGAAATAATTTTTTTTTATTTCGTACCAGGAAACAATTTCTAAGCATTTAAAAGCGTTTGGTAACTACACAAAATTGTTTTTTATTAATAATTATTTTAATAATATTTTTGAATTTTTTAATATTTCTTTCTTTTTTTTCTTTATTTCCCTTCCCTTCCTTGGCCATGGCCAGTCGCCGGCGAGGGCGTCGCGACCCTCGCCGCCGGCCTTGCTGGTCGCAATGGCAAGGTCGGCCTCGCCATGGCTGGGCGAGGCCTCACCGTCCGCGAGACGCCCTCGCCGGCCTTGGCCTGTGGCCGGTGGCCGGTCGGGAAGAAGAAGAACAACAAACCAAGAAGGAAGAAGAAAACAAAGAAGAATCAAAAATGAAAAAATTGTTCTCAAAATTAAGAAGCTACTTTTTTTTGCTTCCTGATTCTGTTCCAAAACTAATTCTAGGAATAATTTTTTGCAAATTTGTTCCCTGGCACAAAAAATTTAACAAACGGATTTGTTCCTAAACTTATTCTGGGAACAAAGGAACAAAAATTTTCTCTATTTGGCAATTTGCCAAACGGGGCCCTAAGAACGAGAAAATGGTTGAAAGAAGCCCTAAATCTATCATACGATGTTTAATGCAATCCTAAATTTGTCAATTGTGTCAATTCAATCATCAACATTTTGATGATTTGCCAATTTAATTCTAAATTTTTTAATAATTTGCTAATTTAGTCGTTCCGGCTAATTTGGCCAGAAATCGATGACGTAGTAGTCTAGTCAATGCCAACTGTCTTACGTAACACGACCAGTACTAATGTAAATAGTTCTTGTAATTTTGTAATTCTTGTTTTTTTCTTCTTCTTTTTTTCCAACTTTGGGCCTGCGAGGTCGCCAACCGACCCTCACCCTCGCCTAGAGGGTTCAGGGGTGAGGGTCCAACGCCATTGCTTGTGGTCAACGAGGGCCGTGATGCCCCCGCCCATACTAGGTGAGGGTCACTAGACTAAAGTTGGAAAAAAACGAAAGTAAAAAAATTGAAAAGAAGAAAAGGAAGGGAAAAGGAAAAATAAAACAAAACAAAACAAAAAAGAAAAATTCAGAAAAATTATAAAATTTGTCAATGTTAGTGCCCGCCGTATTACATAGGACAGTTGGCACTAGCTAGACCGCCACGTCAGCTATTTCCGGCCAATTTTGACTGGAAAGATTAAATTGGCAAATCGTCAAAAGGTTTAAGGCTAAATTGACAAATTATCAAAAAGTTTAGGACTAGACTAACGCAATTGAAAGATTTAGTGTTGAGTTGGCTATTGTAGAGTAGACTTGAGACTTTTAGGCAATATTATTTGAGTTCACTTACTAGTATTTACCGTTTCAAAATTATTAACTCTTTCAATAATTTATCAATATTTACTTGTTAAAGTTATCAATGTGTTGCTTTGTAGCAACTTTTCATGTATTAAGTTACCAAATAGCGAGTTACAAAAATTGTTTTGAAGATACCAACCGTTTTTCAATAATTTACCAACATTTGTCTGCGGAGCTTACCAATGTGTTAAAATTACTAACGAAACTACCAACTTTTGAGGTCACTTATCCACGCTCATTTGATTGCTTGAAATTACCAACCGCTCCAAAAATTTACTACATTTATTTGCAAAACTTAAGTTACTAACACTAATTATAAAGGGATAATTGTATAAAAAGTCATAAACTTATTAATTTTAGTCATCAGCCTTTTGATCGTGCCAATTGAATCCTAAACCTTTTCAAGTTTTGCCAATTGAGTCCATCCGGTCAATTTTGGCTTGAAATTTCTGATGTGGACGCTGGCTGTTCTACGTGGCACGATCGGCGCTAAAGTAAATAATTTTTAGTAATGTTTTCGAATTTTTATTAATTTTTTCCTTTCTTGTCTTTGTTTTTTTTTCCCTCGCCCAGTCCAAGCAAGGGCCGCGAGGCCCTCGCCTGTGGCCAGCGAGGGTGCCACGGCCCCATCCTCTTCTTCTTCTTCTCCGAGCGATCGCAAGCGATGAACTGCGACTTCAGCGAGAGAAAGCTTTTGAGAAACATGCTGGTTCGCAAGTTTGATCCCATTATGGGCCTGGCCCAATGGGCTTCAAGTTCAGCCTAGCTTCTACACGGTATGTTTGGATCCGCAATGCCTTTATTTTGCACGTCTTTGCAAAGATTTCGCCGGATCATTTCTTCCCTAATGATGAGAAAGCTCGTCCAAAATACAATTATAGAGAACCTCCCGCCCATGAAATACCCGACTAACCCGTGAATGAGGTGACCTGCGAGCGAGCCTAATAGTGGCTCGCGCCGCGACACCGATCAGGTTGACATACCTAATTTTTCATGCAATAAAAGAGTTACCCACTTTGAGGATGCACATAAGCATATACCGTAAAAAACGAAACTCGAAAAAGAAGTAAAGTAAAAACAAGTTCTCGAATAGACCCTGAAAACTGAAATGGAAAAACAGGATAGGTTCCAGACGAACATGATAGGTTCCAGGTTTAAAAAATCGGGAATGAGTTTTAGGTTCCAGGTCCAATCACCCCTATCGACACGCATCTATCGACACGCATTAAGTACACCACGTGGTCTGAAAAAATTTGATAATTCATTATTCATGACGCGGGCCTCATAATAAATGAATCCGTAGTCTGAGTTGAAAAACAAACGACGAGCAATAACAGCCATTTAATCCCAATGGACACCTAAATTACGGTTTTGGGTCCGCAACATTCCAAAATGAACGGCGGCTCTTGTCCAATCCGTTCCACCGTGTCCCCATCCACACCTCATCAGACATTTGAGTTGTTGGTATGTTACATCTGTAGAGTGAAGAGGTTGTCTAGGACCCTTTAAGGTAAACTAAAATCAGATGGAGTTCCTCGTTCAATGTTAGTACAACAGTTCCTGTTCAAAACAATAGTTGAAAAACAGTAGGGTTTTGGATCGGTATATCCATGTCAAGATTCCTCGTGTGTAAAAAGAACCTACCCCGATTGATCCGATCGCCACGCGCACTGGTCCCGCTCGTTTAAACATTTTAACGTAGTATTGCCAAACTGCTTCGTTAACCTTTCGTAGAGTCAAAAGCTTGAGCACGACCAAATGATGCTCAATAACCTTTTTACTTGGTACAAATTCACTTGTTCTTCACAGCGCAGCTCACTTTCACGTGTACTTTTTATCTCTGCCAATACAAGACGGACCAAACGCTATGAATGCCAGGGCCACGCCAGTGCAGCTCTCACCGGTGGCCGTCCTTTTCATGAATTTACTTGACCACCTTCGGTGCCGTTTCCTCTCATTTCTTCGCCTACACGTACAAATGCACGTGAAGCGCGAAGATGGCGCTAGATCATTTACTCTGAAAATGAAAACCTGAATCGACACGGCGTTGGACGTTCCTTTCAATTGTCAGAGGACTTCTCTGAAGACCTTTATGAAACCAGGCTTTCTTTCTTTTCTTTTCTTGTCTTTTCTGTTCCCTTTTGGATTAGAGAATTGAAGATGGTAGGTTGGAAGCAAGTACTTCTATATATGAACATACCCTCCAAGAGGTCAAAGAGAACACAAACGTGTCTCAGTCAGTTCTTTGAGAGAGACATGGAATTGGAAAATGAGGTCGTGGAAGAGATGGAGAGAGAGCTTGAGGAGATGAGGGAGTGTTACAGGAGTGGGAGGACAAGAGAAGCCTCTTGGAGGAAGTCACAGCTCAACGGATTGCTTCAACTCCTCAGGGAAAGAGAGGAGGAGATCTTTAGAGCGCTCCATCAAGACTTGGGCAAGCATCCCGTTGAGGCCTATAGGGATGAGGTGAACTTGGATTCAATTGGTGGCACTTCCTTCTTAATGAGGATTTCATTTATGCACTGAGGTGACTTAAACCTGAATTGACCTGCATGATTACGATCGTCTTTTTTTGTACGTCACTGGGTGTATTCGGTGCTAGTTAGCCAGTTGAGTGGGACGGTCTCCTTGTCCCACACATATAAGATAATCACCGAAGCATACCGGTCCGTCCTTTGAAGTGACGGCACTGAGAGAGCATGCAAATGCAGTAGCTAATTTGAACCCAAGATTTGAGCGAAGACGCCGAACACGTTAGCGTTTGAGCAATGTAAAAGTTTGGGATAAGTTTAGTGGTAATCACATATTGGTCACTTAATATGGAAAGGTGTGACAAAGTGGATACCTAATGTAGCCTAAACTGAAATATTCTCAACTTTATAAATCAAGAAAAATTACCGAATGAGAAACAGGAAGGCAACAGTGACAGGTTTTTTAGTGTATCATCTGTAATTCTGTATCATCCCGGTATATGGAACATCACTTGGAAAAGGGAACTTAGCGGGCCTAATGTAATATCACTGCATCTAACAGCTCGAGTTTTTTGGTGGAGATTATGTATGTCGTTTGCAAACAATTGTTTACACCCCCTCGACGTTCTGTTTTAAAGATTTCTCTTCATGGCTTTGCATTTGTATAGTTCCTCCTTAAAGGCATCGTTATGTTCACCGACATTTTGAGGAAAGACCATTCATTTATGGTTACATCTGCAGATAGGAAGCTTGATAAAGTCTGTGAACTATGCATTGGACGGTTTATTACGATGGATGTCAGGCAATAAGGTGAGTGTTAATACTCACGGGACGAAACATGTTGCTAGTTTTATATGGTGATAAATGACAGTCTCGATCACGAGGTTCCTCTCGAATTACATCGACAATATCAAACCAATATGCCTAATATTATACTGCAGATCATACAAAATGATAACATTGTCTTATGATTTTGTATATGATTGATAGGCTAAACTGCCGAGAATCGCATTACTCTCGACTGCGGAGATTGTTCCTGAGCCTCTTGGTCTAGTCCTAATAATCTCATCCTGGAACTTTCCAATTGGTGAGGATAGTAGTTTCCGGAAGGTTAACTTTACAAAGGCTGATAGATTTTCGGATGGGGCTGATACGTCTTGGTTATTAATTAGTCTCTGTTCCTGATAATATTTGGCCATGTGCTTACGCTTATAGGACTATCCTTGGAACCGCTGATAGGAGCGCTAGCTGCGGGCAATGCCGTGGTTTTGAAACCTTCAGAGTTGGCTCCGGAATGCTCTTCTCTTCTAGCCAATGCTATTCCTCGTTATTTAGACTACAAAGCTGTGAAGGTCATTCAAGGCGGTCCTGGCACCGGTGAACGACTTTTGCATTGGAAATGGGACAAAATATTCTTCACAGGTTCAAAACTCCATTATTTGAAAAATCTCTCCTCCAATATTCATGTTTCACTGAAAGCCGTCCAACGATTGGTTTGGCATTTTTTCGGTTTCTGAAATTCATAGGGAGTGCCCGAATAGGACGAAGAGTCTTAGCGGCAGCAGCGGAGCATCTGACGCCCGTAACTCTGGAGCTTGGTGGAAAATGCCCTGCTGTGATAGACACTCTCTCCAGCTCTTTCGACAGAAAGGTAATTTTGCTTTTCTCGATTCCACAGTGACCATGCAAGTTATCTCTCAGTTCCTTTTGTCCTACTAATTACCAGGTGGCTGTGCAACGAGTTCTTGGGGCAAAATTTACATTCTCGGCAGGACAAGTATGCATTGGAGTGGACTATGTCCTAGTGGAGAAGAAATTCAGTTCCACTTTGGTATGACGCTGATGATGATCTGTTATTTCCTTCTTGGGTGTTCGATGTTTTATTTGCTTGTCGATACTGATGTTATGTTCCTCCAATTCTTTCCTGTTCTATTCAGGTCGAATTGATGAAGGTCGAGATGAAGAAGATGTTAGGAGAAAACCCGAGGGAGTCGCGTACTGTTTCGAGAATCGTGAATAAGCATCATTTCTTAAGATTGCAGAGCCTTTTACTTGATCCTTTGGTCAAATCTTCTATTGTCCACGGGGGATTGATGGATGAAGAGAACCTGTAAGCCGTGCTCTTTCATGTCGCCTTTTCTGCTCCATCTCTAACTCACTCTCAGTTAGGCTTTGTATGAAGAAATTGTGTGATGAATGATGCTATTAAGTACAGGGATAAATTTGTCTACAGATGATCAATTTCAAGAGCAGTGATATTTTTAAGAACGTATGCAGGTTCATTGAGCCGACGATCTTGATGGATCCTCCACTTCAAGCAGCAATCATGAAGGATGAAATTTTTGGCCCGTTACTTCCCATTGTAACTGTAAGATGCGTAAACCCGAAAACTACATTCATTAATTTGTTATATGCCATTTCTTCAAAAATCTAGTGGTCGTCGAACAATCGATGGCCAGCTGAATACCGATGCGGGTGCAATCTGGTATGACCGTACTTGTTTTGACAGCTAAACAAGATAGAAGACAGCATCGAGTTCATAAACTCGAGGCCTAAGCCATTAGCCATCTATGTCTTCACCAAAGATGAGTCGCTGGGGAGGAGCATGGTATCGAAGACATCGTCTGGGAGTGTCGTATTCAATGATACAATCATTCAGGTATACCTCCAATCCTATAATAAATCTTCAAATAGCTAAACTATTGATGCACTTTTATCAGTCTTTGAAGAGCAAATCGAGCATTTTAGTGTGAATATGCTCTACTATCTTTTGCTGGGGCTTGTAGATGTCTACGTTAATGTTTTCTCAGTAAGGTCTTCGAAGTGTTAACGAAAAGACTTTCTTGTTCGATTTGCGTATATGTCAGTATCTAGCTGATGCTCTCCCGTTCGGCGGGATTGGCGAGAGCGGGATGGGCAAATATCACGGGAAGTTCTCCTTCGACACCTTCAGCCACAATAAAGCAGTGCTGAGAAGAAGCTTCCTCGTCGACTTCTGGTTCAGATTCCCGCCTTGGAATGATGACAAGCTGCAGCTCTTCCGGTCGTCGTATTGCTACGACTACCTCGGGATCGTTTTGACCGTGCTGGGCCTGAAGAGGACGAACGGAGTCTCGAAACGCGACTAGACATCTATCTGCGCATGCCCGCCCACCATGTCCTTTGTGTTGTATTTATGGTGGGTTAATGGATCAACGGATGTGAGCAAAACGAGATACGTCTCTTCCGTTCACGTATCTCATTAAATTCATATATCTCTCGAGTTCATGTATTTCTTGGATTCGTGTATCTACTTAATTCACGTATCTATTTAATTCATGTATCTCCTGAATTCTTGTACCTGTTTAATTTTTAGTTCATGTATCGTTTCTGTTCATGAATTCTAAAACTCTATAAATAGAGTTGAAATTCTTCATTCCAAGAAATGTTCAAAAAACATCTACATCTCCTCTCTTCAATTTTCTTTAAGTGTGCTAGTTTCAAGAAGTGTTCGAGAGAGTCATGTTTGCATAGTGCTAATTCAAACAGGTTCGAGGTATTGTATCTTAGGAGGCATAGTTCGTGAAGCTGCTTAGCACCGTTGGCAGGAACTAATCGCCTTAAGGAGATTCGGTTAGCCATACCTCACATTCTGGTTATATTTTGTTATCACTTTCTCGGATTTTTTTTTTCCGATTACAACAAACAGTGTTACGTATTCTTCTTCCCTCAATATGTAAATTCTTCTTCTCATTGTTCATCTAATTTTTCAACAATCTTAAGGCGATTATTTCTTACTGTTTGTTGATTTTATCAAAAAATCGAGATAGCTGATAACAATCAAGTACCCAATGATGTCCGGAATATTTTTGGAGACGTTTCTATGGTCATTTCAACTGGTGAGGTTCAGACCTCGTGGCCTGGTATTGTGGCAGCAAATGCTGCAAGTCTTTGGGTTGAAACCATCTATGGTGGTACGGGTGCAAGTCGTTTGACTGATATACCCGGGACTGTTTTTCTAAACAGTGCAGGCCAAATGGCTTATGGTTTAATTTATGGAGGAATGGTTCAACAGGCTTTGCCTAGTTTGATGGTACCATCTCCAGTAACACCGAATGAGAAGCCGGAGAAATTCACCGGTGTGGGCTTTAAGCAGTGATAACAGGAAGATAATGAGAAACTGACTACTGTGGTGGTATCTGAGGTATCTTTGGTATCAAACAATACTGATTGTTGGTTGGACACATGTGTCACAAATCACATTTGTGTGAATACACACATGTTCTTGTCTTACGAGAAAGCTGATGAAGATGAGATGATTTATATGGCTAATACTACATCAGCAAAAGTTGCCGGGAGAGAAAAAGTGATCCTGAAGTTCACCTCCGGCAAGGAGATCATCCTGCAAAATGTGCTTCATGTACCAGAAATTTGAAAGAATCTCATTTCTGGCCCCATACTTGTCAAGAAGGGTTTCAAAATTGTATTTGAATCTGACAAGTTTGTACTTTCCAAAGGAGGGATGTATGTGGGGAAATAGTACTTGTATAATGACATGTTCAGAGCCAATATGGCTGTCATTGATGTAAACTCTAAATTCTTGTACCCAAAGACTATTAATAAAGAAAAGTCTTCAGTTTACACTGTTGCGTCTCCTTATCTATGGCATGGTAGATTAGGGCATGTAAACTATGGTATAATGAAGAAATTAGCAAACTTGGGGCTAATTCCAAGGTTTGAGTTGGATGCCCGCTACAAATGTGAGACTTATGTTAAGATTAAGTTTGCTAAGAAATCTTTCAAATTGATTAAAAGAACGAGTGAACCTCTACAACTAATCCATAGTGATCTATGTGATTTAAAGTTTGTAGAAAGTAGAGGTGGAAAGAAGTACTTCATCACTTTTATAGGTGACTGTACTTGATTTTGCTATGTTTATTTATTAACTAGCAAAGATTGGGCTATGAGCATGTTTATTAAGTATAAAAATGAGGTTGAGAACCAACTTGATAGACTAATTAAAGTGCTTAGGTTTGACAGATGAGGAGAATACAATTCTTTCAATTTAAAAAAGTTGTGTGCTAGTTTGGGGATAATTCTCCAAACAACTGCACCTTATATTCCGCAGCAAAATGGAGTTGCTGAATGGAAGAATAGAAGGAGATGGCTAACGCCATGCTCTTAAGTTCGGCTTTACCTCAAAACTTGTAAGGGGAGGTAGTTTAACTATGAACTACATTTTAAATAAAGTGCCCCACAAGAAGACATATAAAACTCCATATGAATTATGGAATGGAAGGTTACTATCTCACAATTTTTTTGAAAGTGTGGGGGTGCCTAGCCAAGATGGCAATTCCTCCTCCTAAACAAACTCGGTTAGGACCTAACATGGTGGATTGCATATTTATCGGTTATGCTCAAAATAGCAGCGCATACAGATTTTTGGTTCATAAATCTGAAAATGTGGAAATCTATGCCAATACTATCCTAGAATCAAGGGATGCTGAATCCTTTGAGGATGTATATCCTGTGAAAAGAAATCAGGGTGAACCTTCTCAGAAGAGAATTAAAAATCTAGAATCTGAGAATGAGGAAGTTGAGGTTGAAGAAGCCGAACTTCGAAGAAGTAAGAGGTCGCAGATTGAAAAATCTTTTAGACCTGATTTTCTTACATACATGTTAGAAGGTGAGCCTCAAACATTTCAAGAGGTAATGTCAACTCCGGATGTTCCTTATTGGAAAGAAGCTGTTGACAATAAAATTGATTCTATCCTAAGTAATCACACTTGGGAATTGATTGATCTTTTATAAGAAAATAAATCAATTGGATGTAAATGGATCTTCAAAAAGAAGCGTAAAGCTGTTAGCTCCATAGATAAATATAAAGCAAGGCTTGTTGTCAAAGGGTTTAGACAAAGATAGGGTCTAGACTACTTTGATACTTATTCACCTGTAACGAGAATAACATGTGTTAGGATGTTGATTGCTATAGCTTTACTATACAATTTGCAGGTACATCAAATGGATGTGAAAACTGCATTCTTGAATGGCGATATCAACAAGGAGATTTATATGGAACAACCCAAAGGATTCAAGGTCAAAGGACAAGAACACTATGTGTGTAAACTTATCAAATCATTGTATGGACTTAAACAAGCTCCTAAACAATGACATGAGAAGTTTGACCGTGTGATGATAAAAAATGGATATAGAATCAATGAGTGTGACAAATGTGTATACACTAAATCCACATCCGTTGGATGTGTGCTTATTTGTCTATATGTCGATGACTTGTTGATATTTAGAGATAACGCTGAGGTTATTCAAATCACCAAGAATGTTCTCAAGAATAACTTTGAGATGAAAGACTTAGGTGTTGCGGATGTTATACTCGACATCAAAATTCTAAGGAATTCTGATAGTCTATGTTTAACACAATCTCATTACATTGAAAAGGTAATTGAGAGGTTTAAAGGGTTCGATATTAAAGATACGAATAATCATTTTCTTCCATACCTAACTTTAAGAAAGAATACTAGAAACAGTATCAGGTAGCTGGAGTACTCTTAAGTGATCGGCAGCATCATATACATCATAAACTGCATTAAACCCGATATTGTGCACTAAGTAGGAAAACTGAGCTGATAGACAAGTAATCTTGGTCATGAGCATTGGAATGCTCTTTTGAGAGTATTTGTTTATTTGCAAAGAACTAAAGACTATGTTCTGCAATATGGCAAATATCCAGCTGTTTTGGAAGGTTACTGTGATGCCAATTGGATTTCGAATTTCGATGAATCGAAATTGACTAGCGGATATAGGTTCACGCTAGGCGGTGCCGCAATATCATGGAAATCCTCAAAGCAAACTCTAATAGTGCGCTCCACAATGGAATCGGAGTTTGTTGCTTTGGATAAAACCGCTGAAGAAGCAGATTGACTTCGATAGTTTCTAGAGGATGTTCCGTTGTGGTCAAAACCTGTGCCTCTGATATGCATTCACTGTGACAATCAAGCAGTGATTGCAAGGGGGCACAAAATTTGATATACAACGGTAAGTCTAGACACATTCGTCGTAGACATAACACCGTAAGATAGTTGCTCTCGAATGGAATAATTTCTTTGAACTTTGTGAAGTCAAAGGAAAATATTGCGGATTCTCTGACAAAAGGTTTGTCGAGAGAGCAGGTAAACCGCGCATCAAGGGGAATGGGGTTAAAAGCCTTAACTCAATAAAGAGGTTCTAGGATGGAAACCTAATCTAGCGATTGGAGATCTCATGGACTAATTTTAATAGGACAATGCAAATTTTGAAAATTCTAGTGTGCGCACTATCTCCCAATCCTATGATGCAATGATGCTTCCTATAGTGTTTAATGATTCCTATAGCTAGGATTCAGCATCCTAGTAAGGTATGGCAGGATACCTTTAATAGGAATGCACCTATATGCGTGGAGCTGGCCGCCTTTATGAAAATCTTTAAAGGCTAGATTTTTTAAAGCACTCATGAATCATGAGAGGTTTAGGGCCAAAAGAATGAACTCAACTGAGAACCAATCTTGATTCAGAAATACTCTGTGTGAGGTCTATTGTCTGGGCTTACACCAACAACTGGCGGTTCAAGGTCTAGTCCACCGACTAGTTAAATATGTTCGATAGGCTTTCACTAAAAAAAGTTCAAAGCGGAAGTTACCTATCTTGATGTAGTGTATTTCCACATGCACACTTAGAATTCCTTGAGTCAAAATGTTTGTTGATCCATTAATGTGGGATATTGTTGTATTTATGGTGGGTTAATGGATCAACGAACGTGAGCAAAACGAGATACGTCTCTTCCGTTCACGTATCTCATTAATTCATATATCTCTTGAGTTCATATATTTCTTGGATTCGTGTATCTACTTAATTCACGTATCTATTTAGTTCATGTATTTTATGGATTCTTGTATCTATTTAATTTTTAGTTCAGGTATCGTACGTGAATTCTAAAACTCTATAAATAGAGTTGAAATTCTTCATTCCAAGAAATGTTCAAAAAACACCTATATCTCCTCTCTTCGATTTTCTCTAAGTGTGCTGGTTTCAAGAAATGTTTAAGAGAGTCCTGTTTGCATAGTGCTAATTCAAACGGGTTCGAGGTGTTGTATCTTAGGAGGCATAGTTCGTGAAGCTGCTTAGCACCATTGGCAGGAACTACTCACCTTAAGGAAATTCGGTTAGCCGTATCTCACCTCCTGGTTATATTTTGTTATCACTTTCTTGGATTTTTTTTTTCTGATTATAACAAAAAGTGTTACGTATTCTTCTTCCCCCAATACGTAAATTCTTCTGCTCCTGGTTCATCTAATTTTCCAACACTTTGAAGTATCCTTGCTAATCTAAAGAAGATAATTCCATACATGGCATCAGCTGGCTACGTGCAAAAGGTTCTGATGTCCGCCACTCGGTATCTTTCTCTGAATATGTATAGCGTGACCTTCTTCCACTCAAGTATTGCGAAGAGATTGCTTTATACATGTGCGAGGAAGAGGGTGCTTTGTCATAGATTTGAGCTTTCTTTAGAAGACCATTTCACATCCCAAACTCGTGCCGCTTCAAGATCACGAACAAGTCCCTCGAGTTCCGAGTGCATGCACTATTTCGCTTTGCGAAAGCCCAAGTTTATCGAGCTTAGCGATGCGTTAAACGCCTCTGATCTGGTTCGATGTTGGAACTGTGGGTAGAGATATGGAGAAGTCTCCATGTCATTCCTTGCGCTCGGAGTTCGATCTGACCCGCGCCTAGTAAATTTCAGTCGGAAGCAAAGACATTCATTTGAACTCAGAGCTAGGAATTCTTCTCATGAAAATCAGTAACGAGTGATATCTCCTTAGACCCTTCAAACGGTAAGTTGGGTCGAAAATGGTTTGACCCAAATTGATCAATAACTGCACAATATAAATCTAGTTACCCATACTCACCTCGACTCATATTGCTAAAACGCTTTCATATTTAACCCAATCTAGGAAAATTCATATCCAAATTTAGACGAGAGCACAGACTGAGCGAGCGAGAGAGAAAGCGAAAGAAGAGTCATAAAGGTGGATTGAGTCTAAATAAGTTGCGAATCTATTTAATACCATTAGTATTTTGGACTCTACCATTCTAAAACCATTTATAACCTATTTACTGAATATAATAACTCGTATAACGATTCATCCCATCAAATATGGGCTAAAAAACAGGTCTATAACTCACTTTGACAGGTCTATATCTCGTACGGCGACATAACAAAAAAAGTGAAGGCGAAAAGAAACGAAACTTGGAACTAGGCTTCCCCGATAGATTCAAACTCGAGAGTCAGGGGGAGTGGGGAGGCAATTCAGTCTGAATGTTGTTCACTAAAGGAGCAGGGAAGGGTTAATAAGATCAGATTAAGTACAAAATCCGATCCATAGTACGGCAATTGCCGGAACTCGTGGATCGAATCGGGTTTCGGCCTAAAAAATATTGCCTCGTCGATCAAATTGTGATTGAATAGCCGGTCATACCCTTGGTTAGTCTCCAAGCAAGTCCTATGTCGGGAACACAAGCAAATGGCGTTTAAGGAATGGAGGAGATCGGAATTTTGCTAATAGTAGAACTAGGATGGAACGTGGATCATCGTTTCGTATTTAAATAAATAAAACCCAATAAAAAAATGACGATATAGAATTAATCGCATAAATAAGTTTTATTGCCCGCTCGTAAAGCGCAAAATTGTGCCCCTCATCAATTAATTTTTTTTGTCGGTAAATCGGAAATTTTAATTTCGAAATTTCCTAATAGTAGCAGCATGATAACGTGAGAAATTTCCAAATAAGAACATGAACGGCCCTCATTTTCTCAAATAAGAGCCCGGAGTAGACATTGTTTTAAATAATTGCATGATTTTTTCAAATAAGAGTCTGAAGTGAATTTTGTTTCAGATAAGAGTCTGAAGTGGCTATGTCAGTTTCAAAGAAGGACTTGACTTTTCGAATGGTCAAGAGCATTTTCATCCTTTTTTATTTTATTTTATGAAATTTTCCCTTTTTTCTTTTTCTAGTTTGTTCTTTGCCGGTGGCCAGCTTTGCCTTGGGCGATGCCACCCTCAAAAGCCATAGGCGAGGCCAGCGAGACTCTCGCCTAGGCAAGGGCCGCCCTCGCCGACCTCGCCTGGGATTTCGAGCGTTGTCTCGCCCAGGGTGAGGGTCGCCTTGCTAGCCCTTTTCGAGCATCGCCGGTGGCCATCGGCAAAGAACAAACTAGAAAAAGAAAAAGAAAAAATAAAAGAGGAAAAAAGAAAAGAAAGGGAGAAAAAGAAAGAAAAAAGGAAAACAATTAAGAAAGTGGTCACGATGCGCGCAACGGTCGAGTGACGTTTCAAAGGTCCTCGCTTTTGCGAGGGAACTTTTCCCGCCATCTCTCCCTCTCTCTCTCTCTCTCTCTAGCGTCATCTCTCTCTCTCTCTCTCTCTCTATCAGACGCTCAAAACCCTAAATCCTCTTGGCGCTCCTGCAAATCCATGGCGGAAACCCCAAAGAGGATCCACACGCCTCGGAAGCAGAAGCAATCGACCTCGAACCTCCACCCCGAGCCCTCGGCCTCGCCGATCTCCTTCGCGCCCCGTACCCCGCGGTCCGCCGCCGCCACCCCCCTCCGCCGATCCGCGCGGCTGACGCCCCTCTCCCCGGACGATGGAGGAGGTCGCGATGCGGGGACGCCCTCGAAGTCTGCCGGCTCCACCGGCGGACCGGCCCCGGGTTCGGGTAAAAGGACCGGGAACGTGAGGAATGCTGGGCTGGCAACGCCCTCCAAGGAGGAAACTCGTGAAGAGGCGGAGAAGGCGGTCCGGTTCGATAGGTCGGGCAGGAAGTCGAGGCAGAGAGTCGAGAATGAAGGGAATGGGGTCTCATTTGCTCCGGTATCGCCGGGTCAATCTGAGATTAAGAAGAGGAGAACGAGCGGGAGTGACTCCAGAATGGTTGCCAGAGCTAGGACTTCGAGTGCCTCGGACGGCAAGAAGAAGAAGAAGGGTGACGCGGTGCCGAAGAAGAGGGTGTACTATAAGAAAGTGGTGTATGATGGAGGTGAGTTCGAGGTGGGGGACGACGTCTATGTGAAGAGGAGAGACGACACGAGCTGTGACGATGAAGACCCTGAGATCGAGGAGTGTAGGATTTGTTTCAAAGCAGGGAGGTCTGTCATGATTGAGTGCGACATTTGTTTAGGCGGATTTCACTTGAAATGTTTGGCCCCGCCGCTGAAGGAGGTTCCTGAAGGGGATTGGAATTGTGGCTTCTGTGAGGCGCGGAAACTGGGCAAGGAAGTTGAGTTGCCAAAGCCGCCCGAGGGGAAGAAAATGGCGAGAACCGCAAGGGAAAAGCTTCTTTCTAGTGATTTATGGGCTGCTCACATCGAAAGGTATGGTCATTCCGCTAATTTGAATACTATGGTAGCTTTCATGTTCTCTGAGTAGTTATGAAGTCCGCTGATGTATAGCTTATGGAAAGAAGTGGATGGAACTTACTGGTGTCGGGTGAGATGGTACATAATTCCCGAGGAGACTGCTGCTGGGAGGCAGCCTCACAACCTCAGGAGGGAGATATATCGAACGAATGATTTTGCAGATATCGAGGTACGGTGTTACACTGCACTAGCTTAATTTTCTCTTTCAATTGATTTGCATGTGTTAGAAACAATGAGCATAAGGGCATTTACTTTGCCGAGTGGTAGTAATTGAGAAGTTAGCGAGATTAGCTGTTACATTAGCCTTTTCAAATTTCCCCAAGCTATTTGTCTGCTTAAAATTCACAGCCAGCACATTTCTCCAGTTATGTGGCACTTACACAAGCTTGTGGAGAATCTTTGTCTGAACTGTTTCATTGGACAGTTTATCGGGAGTCTTTTTATTTACTTTTGCCAACCAAGACAGGACTCCACACGATCGACCATTACTTTGAGTGAAAATTATTGTAAAAGCTTCAACTGTTCTTAGTTGTGGCATTGTCTATATAGCAAAGCACCTGTTGATTCAACAAAAGAAGCAAAACCTAAAACTCCTGGCTATGAGCATACACAAGCATAGTAAATCTGGTACGTCTTAATTTGGGAAGACTACACTGATGCCCGTATCCATCAGCATAGATTCTTGTATAGAAAGCTCTGTACGGTGATGACAATGTTGATTATTTAGTATCTAACAAGGCAAGGGGGGAGTATCTCTTAATGAAAAAAATGGCGACCATCCTTCAGGTTGATCTGTTGTATGGAAATAAAAAGAAAAACGTTGATGCATTACTATATCTATCTTCTGGCTAATGCTGCAATCTGGCTAATGCTGCAAGAAGATGTTAAGGATAAAGTAATCCATTGCTTGAATGGGCAAAGGAGTGAGAAAATTAAGTGAGTTGCAAAAGTATCATGTAGAGACACAAGAGAGATGCGACTTCTTTAGTATCCTAATGTACTTATTTTGGAGCCAAAAGAGAAGTTTCATGACACAAGAGGTAAGAGGAGAGAATAGAATTGTCCCCATATTAGATTTGAATGAGGATTATGGTCCTATCGCATATTTCAGTGTCTAGAGAGGAGACACTCTGATTAGTGCCCTACTTGAGAATATTTGCAAAAGAGCAGTGGGTAATCATGTCCGGAAAAGAATCCGTGATCTTAGTATGTCAAATTTTGGTGCTTGATCTTTGCCACTTTAGTCTAAACTGACCAGGAGTTGGCTATAAGTTGTTTGGATTGGTTGATACAGTGATTGAATATTAACTAGTTATTACATATCGCTTGATGCTCATACGTGTTTCCTCAACTGTGGATGTGATTGGTCAAAGAATCACATACTTCTTGTTGTCAAAGATTCTCATCTTCCACTCTCCACTGCATGGCTTGTAGATGGAATCCATTCTCAGGCAGTGCTTTGTCAAGAACCCTAAGGAATATGCCAAAGCCAATGACCAGGGTGATGATGTTTATCTTTGTGAATATGAATATGACATCCATTGGCACAGTTTCAAGCGTCTTGCTGAGTTTGACAAGGAAGAAGAGGTTCGCAACTGAACATATGAGCTGCAGTGTTTGGCTTTTGTTCTTCAAACTTGAGCAGGAAAGAAATTTGAGTTCACAAATTTGTTGCACAGGATGGTGTGGAAGATGATAGTGATGAAGATTGGATTTCTCGCAATGAAGCAGACTCTGAAACTGATGAAGACATGGATTATGAAGCAGAGCGTGTGAAAAACCTGCAATTGAGATCTTCAATGGCTCATGAATGTGCTGCCGTACGAATGAAACCGTGTATTTCATTTTCTGTTCTTTTCCTTTTAAATGGCTTTTCTTCAAATCGGTCCTTGATTATTTTATACAGAACTCACGTAGGGGTCAGTTCTTTGGACTGCAAAAGATAGGGACAAAGATAATTCCAGAGCATGTCAGATGCCACAAGACAACTGATCTGGAAAGAGCCAAGGCAATGCTTTTATTGGCAACACTTCCTAAAAGCTTACCTTGCCGAAATAAGTAAGCATGACTACTTGTCTAAATGTTTTTATCATCTGGCTAGGTGTATGCTCCATGAGGCATTTTTTTATTGTAGAGAAGTGGAGGAAATAACGGCTTTTATAAAGGGGGCAATATGTGAAGACCAATGTCTCGGGCGTTGCTTATACATACATGGTGTTCCTGGAACCGGCAAGGTATACTTCATCACTGAATCAGATATAAAATGTTATCTCAGTTCCTTGGTAGCTGAATATCACTTGATACCTTATTAACTTTAAGCTTTAGACAATGACGGTACTTGCAGTATTGAGAAACATGAGGTCCGAAGTCGATGCTGGAAGGATCAGACCATATTGTTTTGTGGATATTAATGGCCTTAAGTTGGCGTCACCGGAGAACATCTACAAGGTAATTAAGATAATAGACTTGAACATTTGGTATTTATACTTCTTTTGTGCCCTTTGATGCGATGAAACATTCTTATAGGTGATTTATGAAGCATTGACTGGACATAGAGTTAGCTGGAAGAAGGCTCTCCGGCTGCTTAATGAACGATTTTCAGATGGAAAGAATAATGGCAGAGATGATGACCGACCTTGTATCCTACTCATTGATGAACTTGACCTTCTTTTAACCAGAAATCAATCGGTACTAGCTTTTTCTGCTATCCCAATTACGTAACAATGGCATTCCATCTGGCACAGCACCCAAAGCACATGCTTTCCCTTTTTCTTTCTCCTTTATTTTTTCAGTTTTGTTAAACTTCTTTATTAGGTCATCAATGTTGTCGGCCTTCCATTGTTGCAGGTTCTCTACAACATTCTTGATTGGCCTACAAAGGCACATTCCAAGTTGATTGTAATAGGTATGACTTGTCCTTTTCCAGGGGGGTTGTAAGGACTATTGAGGAGAGGAAGACACTAATGTATTATTCCTCTTTCTGTTAAAATTTAGGCATAGCAAATACAATGGATCTGCCAGAGAAGTTGCTCCCGCGTATCTCTAGTCGCATGGGTATTCAGAGACTTTGCTTTGGTCCTTACAATTATCAGCAGCTTCAGGAAATCATTTTAACGCGACTCAGAGGAATTGATGCATTCGAAAAGCAAGCCATAGAATTTGCTTCTCGAAAGGTCTCATCCTTGATTCTTTTGTTTTTTACTATATCGTGATATGGGCTTCGACGTTTACCTACCCAATTAAATTTTTTGAGGCCATTGGCATATTGCTTTTGAAGGTTTTCCTTACTATTCTCTCACGCTACCTTCAGTTTGACTTTAGATGATTTACATCTTTAACAGGTAGCAGCCATTTCAGGGGATGCACGGCGTGCACTAGAGATATGCAGACGTGCAGCAGAAATTGCTGATTTCCGTATAAAGAAAGCTTTCAAAACTGCTCCTGCAGCAGGTAATCTTTTTTCTTCTGACTGCATAACCTCAACGTAGAACTTCCAGTGAACAGTATACTTCTGGGTTCCCGATCCATAAATGTGTCCCTTACAAACATCTAGGTGTATACATGCTCAGAGGAGTTGGAGAGCAATCGTGGGAAGGTACGGACAGTTGAAGAAGATCTACTATCATTTATTATGAATCTGACTTGACCAAGAAGCTTTCCGCCAAACTAGATATCTTTAGTGTCATCCCAAGTCACTCGATATGAGGAAGGGTGTGTGTATATGATTCACGGCTTTGTTTATGTTTGATCAAAACAAAAAGGAATATAACCAGGGGCTGACGGGGTTATGCTATACATCAATGATGAGCAAATTCAATAGATGATTTCTCTGCATCACCATCACAAGCCCAGAGATAGGTTACATAATTCTAGAAGGTCATTGTTAAGCAGGACTTTGGGAGTGACAAAAAATCTGTTTGATTGTTTTGGTGGGCGATGTCATGGCTCTCTACACTTTTTCAACTGGCCTGTGGTCCTGAAGGCTCACTCTATTTGATATACACATATGTTTGTTTGTATTTGTAAATGTACAACTGTTAGCATAAACCTACACTTGCAAATAACCAAATGATGTAAGTTCTCCATTTTACAGGGAAAGCTCTTGTTGGGATGTCAGAGGTTGAAGCAGCCATCAAGGAAATGTTTCAGGCACCTCACATCCAGGTGAGTTGAAGCACATTTGTGACTTGTCATCAGTTACTGCTCACTGATACTATCGTGTTCTTTCAGCAACATATAACACCACATGCTTTGTATTCACGAATTTATTGGGACGTGTAGTGTGTTATAGATAGTAGGCAGGCACATTATATGAAAAAAGTGTATAGCACCCAAGATAGGGGAAGACTCACAAGCTATGTGAAGAGGAATGTCAATACTTAGAAGGATGGGGGTTAGCTTATGTTTCAGGTTGATGCAAAAGTTGTGGCCTCAGGAAAATAGGCTAAGGTTTTGCTGAAGAAAGAGCTATTTTATAGCTACAGTTATGCGGTATAGTGAAAAGATTTGACTGCATTGTTTATATCTTCTAGATGGTGCTTAGGTGTGATTCATTCTCGTAGGAAACTACTTTACTCGATAAAAGTGGATTTTTTTATTTATTGACATTTAACTTTGGCAGGATTTGCAGGAGGCTGCAATATGTTAAAACTTTTTTAAGACGCTTCTGATGTAGATTTTACTCATTTGACTTTACCAGGTCATAAAAAGTTCCTCCAAACTTGGAAAGATCTTCCTGACAGCCATGGTACATGAGCTATACAAAACAGGCCTGGGAGAAACCACTTTTGAGAAGGTCATCATTTAAGCTTTTCTTGTATGCTGCGTCACATAATGAGATTACTGAGAAATTGCCAGTAAAATTCTTGGACCATCTATAGGAGCTTGTACTGATTGACATATTCTGTCTAAGAAAAATGACCTATTGAAATTATGAAATGTGAAAACTACATGTAAAACCAAGGCAAAATAATAAAAGGAAAGAAATGGACCTTGTCATCTTGATGACTAATAGCATAGCTAAATGTTCAGAAGAGTTTTCACATTGGGAATTCCGATGTGTATTTGTAGGACATTATTATCAGGTTATTATCCCATGGTTATCCTTGATACCTTGCGCTAGTGTATTGTTCTATTTCTTCCTTTAGGCATTTAATGCTGCACTTCTCCATAATGCAGTTGGCAATGACCGTCTCATGTCTCTGTGCAAGCAATGGAGAAGCTTTTCCTGGATGGGACACACTCTTAAGAGTGGGGTAAGGTCTCCACCATTTTCTTCTCTTGTTATATAATGAACAGGGAAACCGTCGATGAAGCTTTACCATAGGACAATATATATTTATTTATTTATCGGCATATGCTTGGGGCTTAAAGGATCGGAAAAGTTTTCGAGCCAGTTCAGACCTATTTAAGGCTTGCAATTTCTGTGTCTGTCAATAACACGATGCTGCCTTGTGATTTGCATATGATTTTAGCGGCATTTATGTGAAGTATTTGCTATAAGCTTCTAGTTAAGGGATTTGTGTTATGGAAAATGGAGTTAATGAGATGGATACTTGTGTAACGGCATCTTTCATTAAGTGTGGACTACATTGCTTAGTTATTCCAGAAGTGCAGCCTAATATGCTTTTTTTCTTCTTTGGAAACTTAGCTTAATCATACATACTAGGACCACAATGTAAAATTCTTTTGGCATTGAGCTTGTTTTTCTGTCAATTTGCTAATACACTGAAAAAGAAAAAAAAGCTAATGGAATTGTATAAATGGTTGCAGCTGACAATTTGTGTTATTCTGTCATAATTATACTTAGTAATTCGTGTTAGCATTAACTATTATAGAATGTATTTTATAAGCCAAATAATTGACTGATAACAAGACGTGTTACTTTGTATCAATACATGGGATTAAGTATATCACATCTTGTCATACTTGAGTTTTCCTCGTGTTTAGTGTTTTGCCTCATATCTTGTAAATTTGCCGTGATCAATACTGTGAACTCTGAAATGGTTACCTATGTGCAAAGGGATATAATAGGCCACTTAATTAGGGCATGACAATGGATAAGGAAAGATGAACTGAGATTCTGCAATGACATTAAATTTATTTCCAAGTTAAAGGGACAGCTCAGCTTTGACATTCCTGTCATATTTTCTCCGTGGCAGCTGTATGTTGGGTGAATGCCGTATCATCTTATGTGAACCTGGTTCTAAGCACAGGCTACAGAAGTTGCAGCTCAATTTTCCAAGGTCAGTTCTCACTTATTGAATAGCAGTCAGCTATCTATAACCTTCATAAAGCATTCAATCTATGACATCCCTGTTCCTTGATATTTCCCTCTGACGATATGGATTGGTCCATGAACGTTTTATCTTTGATCTTAGCCCATACATGCTTGGACATGGTTTAGAATGAAATAATTGTTGTTTTATTCCACAAAAAAAGATTGTAACGACAACAATATTTCAACTTTAGGCTCTGTTTCACGGAAAATGAATGATTTGGAAAACATTTTCCTAAAAATAATCACTTGTATGGCTTGAAATAATTAGTTAATGAAAAATGTTTTCATTATGGACAACAATGTCTCAATATTTTCACAAACGCTAATTTTTTTTTCGTTCATTCATTTTATAAGCGATTCACCCGATTATTTTTAGTTAATGTTTTTCAAATCATTTTTTTTTCGTGAAACAAATGCACCATTAGATCCATCTAAATTCTATCTCGAAATTGTCTAAAAAAATCATTAACTTTCACTTTAGTCCAAGATCTATCTTTGTTAACTCTCTGTTCAAAAATCGCTATTGGTTTGTTCAGAATTATCAACATCAGGAGGTTGTTGTTTTCAAGGATGCCGATGAAGATGCAGGTTATGATAATGAACCTCTAAGTGGTCTTGATGTTGATAATTTTGAATTATCAATGGCAATTTTTAGATGGTGGGTTAACGGGATAAAGTTGGGACTAGTTTGAAAGTTGGTGATTTTTTTAGATAAAAAGAAGTTCAGAGTAGAAATGGACCTAAAGTTGAGTGTTGTTTAGGGAATTAGGCCTAGATTGTTTTCCAAACTTTTGACGGGAAAGTTGACCGTATAAGCAATAGAGTGATCCTCGTGAGAAACTTTTCATGGATCCGCCTTTTTCCAACCATAGACCTTCTACTGGTACAGGCTACACATGGTTTAGTCCAAGCCTCACTTCTAGTGTGAACTACAAAAGGTGTTCATTTGTATTACCAAACAAATCAGTCTGGGCAGTTAGTTTCGTACAAATGAAAATGGTTGAAGCTTTGAGACTCGACCCACCACCGTCCACTACACCAACAATGCGTGAAGCCATTTTATTGTCCACTAACATAGATGCCGTTTAGGTGGGTTGTTTTCCTATTGTATTCTACTGCGATAACAGGAAATGTGTAGATATACCGTTTGATCATGAGGATTCATCTCACTTCAGAGCCAGTATTGCTTTCGCAAGCATGTGATTGTTATCCATAATGCAGTTATTTAGATTTTATCACCCATCATAAGATGTCGACATAGAATTAAGAACTTTCACCAGTGATATAATACAGCCTGTATTGTATTGTGGCAGCGATGATGTGACATTTGCACTCAAAGACAGTGGCGAGCTACCTTGGTTAGCGAAGTATCTGTGATTCAAGAAAATTTTGGATTTTAATTCTTCTCCTGTATTTTTTCTTATTTAGATAACATTTTTCATCATCATCGTGAGAGATACATTTTGAAGTCTTGATTAATTAACATTTTGAGGGACCAAAATCAATTTGGTGGGATGATCAGGATTTGATGTTCTTGTTCTTGTTGTTTGAGGACAAACACATGCTATCGGTTCTTGTCAGATTTAGTTGAACTTTGGAAAGAGTTGCTCTTGAACTTCCTCTGATTGAATCCCTGCTTCAGATTTGATCATATTATATATCATTTTCTCATTAAGAAATAGCAGATCCTACAAGTACTCTGTGTGGTGCTTCTGCCCATAAGGTATAACAGTGTTAAGTGACAGCGCAATTGCAGGGACACAGCTAGGTTAACCAGTGTTGTCCCATTTGAGAACCACAATGACATCTTTATGGTGTTCTGGGGACCTCACCTTAACCAAAAGATAGTGTCCTTCTGTGCAGGATGTTGCAACCCTGGCAGACCCAAACTCTCAAGTACGTACAGAGGCACAAACTAGGCCTTAGGGCACCTTAAGAATATCTTTCCATTGGTCACCAATTCTCTTTTTATCCCTCTGTTTTGTTCCACAAGCGATATATTGACAAGAACATCTTACCATGGGTATTAGCTCGTCAAGCAAGCGGCCTAGTCTCACCACGAATTTCCGTCTAGATGCAATCACATTAACAAGATTCATGAAACCCATCATCACGAGCTGAGAAAGTCGCCTGTCTTTGAAACTAATTCAGAGTGAGCAATAGTGAAGCTCTGGTACTACTATACAGATGACCACAATCTCAAAAAAGAAAGACAAAGCATGGTTAACGTAGATGCTTAATTCAATTAGAGTAAGGATGCGCCTAGTTATGTCATACACAACCTCAGGCAGCTCCATTTCGTTTTCTTTTCTTACTTCCCCTAATGAAGTCTCTTAAACTCAGATTGAGAGACGGGGCCAGCAAAAATGGATTCGTTGAAGGTGATATTTCTTTTCCTTTTTTTCCATGACACAGGGTATCCGTCCAATGTCATCTCTCTCTCTCTCATACAATTTTATCTCTCCGATATTATAGAAGGTTTTCTTGAAAAAATTGAGTCCCAATGAAGCTTCTGGCTAGAAAAAAAAAAGTCCCAATGAAGCTAAGAGGTTCCATAATTGAGTCCTCCGATCATCCAGTTCCCCCAGTAGGACTGCCCAGATACAGCATATCACTGAAAGATCTTCCACAGCAGCAGACTTCTCATCATGAAGCCTAAGCATTACTTCTATCTTGAGCAGCTACCAAATGTGTAGGCAAGGAACCACTCTGAACTGCCTATGCTTGAGACAAGTATGAGTTTCTGTACCAAAGTGGCCTGCCCAAGATGGCACTCCCATGAACAGAAAGGTAAGAAGCATTTAACCTACATCGCCAAAGAGAGAGCTGTTATGAATGCAGAAATTAGTTCCTCCTAGCTAGTGCCATGTCTTGAAAAAAAGAAAGAGACTTACTTATCAACATCGGGAGGAGCCAGGGGATCAGTTGGCTCTACAGTAGGAACGGCACCTGTCATACCAGCCATTTCTTGAACACCTTCAACCTAAACTTCAATAACAGAATGCTAGTCACTAAAACTATAATTCACGAAACTCCAGGGAAAAGGAAGTGATATGCAATTTGATATTACGAGTAACTTTGAATATCTTCTCCCAACTATCAAAAGGAAAGGAAAGTTAGAGCATAATCATTCTCGCTGGGAAATCAGATCCCGTTGTAACCAGAAATATGAACTCAGATGATCAAGTGTCTTGTTGAACCAGAATGTTAAACATAAGCCTCTCAACTTGTTTCAGAATCAAAGTCCGAAGAGAAAAGCAGCAAAAGAAGGAGCAAACTTTCAAAGGTGCCACAGAACTTTCACTTCATGAACTTCAATCCCCTCAGGATCTGGACAGTCGTGGTAAAAATCTACCTAGCTCAAATGCGTAGGAGAACAAGTCCTAACCTCCTCCATATTCGAAAAAAGATAAGGGGTTGAATGCAAACTTCATTTTCCAGATATATTACAAATAGAACTAGACCATTTAAATCTTTGCAGAAACAAAATAACCCTCCTCCCCTGTTGCAAGTAGCCTCCATCCTTTAAATCACTGGAAATAGACTCCCAACCTTTCAAATGCTTTGCAACGATTATGAGAAAGTTTGCAAAAGATTTAAAAGAAGAGGGATATCTACTATCAAAACCCCAAGGTTTGGCTTGAAAAAAATACAAGATAGGCTTAAATTTAGTTAGAATTATCTTCAAAGAACCAGCAATACTTACGATGCTAGATCCTATATCATTAAAAAGATTTGAAGACAGGAGTATACAAAGTACGAAGCAGAACAGCGCGAATGTCTTGCCTGTTGAGGGTATTGCATGTAACCAGCATAAGCACCATATGCATACAAAGATGGATCATGGGAAGCACCATAAGAATACGCATCATAGCCTTGTGCATAGCCATAATAAGCATTCCATTGACTTGGATCTACTTGCTGGCCCCAGCTACCAGGCACGTCCTACAAGTTGATACCACATACTGTCAAATGCTAAGATGTAATGTATACAGATGAGAAAAGGAAGTGTACAAAACTATACAACTGTAGTAACACCAAATGACAAAGTAAACTTGCCAAGTACTATTACCCAAGGATAAGCAAGGAAATGCAACAGAGAAGAGCATGACATTTAGATTCCATTAGATGCCCCAGAAGTTAAATTCTCTACAAAGGTTCTTCAAGAATTTCAAGTCTTATGGCAGATACAAATGAAGGTTAAGACTGGAAAAATAGACAGCTAATAAGCCATTTTTCTACTTCAGTGATCGTGATTTGTGAACTAATTCTACACGTTCTCCAGTGAAAGGGTTAATTAAGGAAATGCAGTCCTTGAAGGTCGGATGTCTTTCCAGAATTAGCAACACCCCAAATAAGCTCCTTAATCACTATTCAAAAAGAGTACAAAAGTGCAGGACGGTGGCCTTTTGAATACCAATAGTGGGATATAATTTAACCATCATCATTTTCGTTCCCATCATTTTCCAACACCATATTAACAAATCCATGTCTTTGTTAGAAAAGAAAAAAAAGAAAAGCAAATCCATGTTTTTCGCAGTGGTCACTTTCTCCAGGTTCAAATTTTAGATGCTCTCAAGAGAAGAATTGCGTAACAGGTCTAGAGGGGGGCAACTACTATTAAAGCAAGATTTAATATAGGGATTATATGCATGATTCCAAACCTGTTTAGCAGTTGGGCTTCGCCCCCAAGAAATGCGAACAACTTGTTGACCAATTGTAGCTCCCTGCATCCTTTGAATGGCTTCTTCAGCAGATGCCCTATGCAACATAATTATGACAAAAATAAAGAGCAGAAACATGTGCCATCGTGTCTAGCGAAACAAAAAGATTTGGAGTGTAAATGCAAAACGAGTAGAGAAATTGATCCATGTCATGCAATAGTGAAGTTCAACTACTACTAAAAAGGGATGGTATGAGAAGATTCACAACAAGCGACAGCAATAACATATAGTAACCTTGCTCGAAATTCTACAAATCCACATCCCTTCCCAGCAGGAATTTTGACATTTAGAATCTCCCCAAGCTGTAAAAAGATTTGCCTCAGCTCCTCTTCTGAAACATTTGGATCCAAATTCCCCACAAAAATCTGCATAGTAGAACTAATTAGAAGGTTCTAAAAAATGAACTGCATGTAAAGGTGAGCATTTTCCACTTACCGTGGTGTTATTTACATCATTATCCACTGGTAGCACCGGTACTGGTGGAGCAGTGTATGCTGCAACTGGGTAAACCGCTGCGAAATGTTTCATAAGCAAACTTTATATCAGTAAACATATTGCAGCATTATGCATGTTTAGAGAGCTATTTATTATTTATATTATCAAAGTCCAACATACACGGAAAGACAGATCAAAAACAATTCAGCCTTTGATTGAGTACATTCATAGAAAATATCTATGCCATAAGGAAAGCTACTACATATGACAAATTTCTCATCACAAATTAAGCCTAATTTCTATGTCCTTAGGCGCTGGACCATAACAAACTACAATCCAATACTCGAGAATATACAAGAAAACCAGTGAGAAAGACTAAAGAAGCCTGTGGGGGAAGTTGATATGATAAGAGAGAGCGAATGAAGCACTGCAGGGGAAAAAATCACGGCCACCAAAAGATGATGCAGTTGCCTAAAGTAAATGTCCAATACAAAAATACCTTTCACAGCAGCATACTGCTGAGGCATTCCAGTCGTCTTCTTCGGTGTTGCCGCGCTAATACGCATCGGCCTAGTTGAACAGTAGACGCCGTTCATTTCTGACATGGCACGGTCCCTTTCTGTTTCATTCGCAAATTTAACGAATCCATAACCCTTTGAGCGCCCAGTGCTCGGATCAGTAACCACCTTCGCTCCTTTAACAGATGGATAATGAGCTCGGAAAGTTTCTTGCAACAGGTAGTCCGTGACATCGGGTGCCAAATCACCCACGAAAATAGAATGCTCAGGTCCAGCATCGGCGCGTCTCTCCCCCATACCGAATGATGCCCAATTCAACCTAAACGTTTGCTCTGTCCCGGGCATTTGGGTCCCATTATACGTCTGCAGAATCCTCTCAGCAGCCGCGTGAGACATGAACTCCACGAACCCGTAGCCCTCCGGCTGCCCCGTAAGCTTATTCCTTATGATCTTCACCGACACAACCTGCATAAATTAGGGTGCACATCACGGCTCCCGACACCTAAACAGCACAGGATTTTCTTTGCCAACATCCTAATTTCCTTTATCTTCTGCTAAACATTCCAAGACTTTGCTAAACAGAAGCAAATTCGACCCGCGGCATTTGCCCGGCAGCGAGCGAAAAAGGCGAAGCGGCACGGAGCGCCACGTGAACTCACGGGGAACTCGAAAGACTCAACACTCGACACCCCAACGTTCAAGAAGACAAGAGTTAAAACCTAAACCGCAACAAGATCAACTAATGACTCCATACCCACGTCCACGCCCGGACTGAAGCGTCCACCAAACCAAACGAACCCTATGGAAGATATATCAACCGCTGAATAATACAGGTAGAGAGAGAGAGAGAGAGAGGGGGGGAGAGATAGAGAGAGAGAGAGCGACCTCGCCGGTGTGAGCGAAGCAGCCGTAGAGATAAGACTCGTCGACCCAGTACTGCAGGTCGCC